TAGGTACGGTGCGGCGACGGGCGGCTCTCTCGGGCTCTCCGAGAACGCCCGAGCCTTTAACGTTCTTTCGGGGGACCCTGGGAGACCGGGGTGACCTCGGTAGACCTCATGGAGTGAGGACTATGCAGGGGACTCAGTTGTGGGCCCCCCCCGTTCTCGGCAAGGCGGGGGGGTGACCGCTTCCTGTCCCGAAGCGGGAGCGTTTTATGGATTAGAGTTTACTCTACACAAGCTGCGACCATCCTTTTTTTTTAACCATTTTTTGAAACTGAAATTCAATATGGGATATAGCAAGGACTTTGTAAGTACGCGTTTCTCTAATTTCTAATGATTTGGATACCGTTTGGCAAGTTACCCCTTGTTTTTTGAGCCCAAGATGGAGGTGTACGAGTGGCCGGAGAGAGAAAGAGGCAAAGAAACATAATGGATTATTTTTTTTCGTGGGGTTTGGGAACTTTGTAACGGGGGACTTAATTTTTCTGTTGGAATTATTGGAAGAATATTGAAAGAGGACTAAGTAAAAGTAACTTTATTCCTAAATATTGAAAGAGAACTAAGTAGAAGTAACTTTATTCCTAAAATGGCGGCAACAGCTGAGCCAAAGAAGGAGGATTTTGATGAGGACACCTTGGTAGGAGACCTCACACTGGAACAATTTATGAAAATATTGAGGGAGGAATTCCAAAAAGGCGTCAGGCAAGCATGTGCGAAGGTGATTGGAAGTTTACAGGTGGCATTACAGGATAAAGAAAGAGAGAGAAATGAGGAGGAATTAATGCAGGACGGTTGCGATATGGAGGAACAACAAGCTGATTGTTTTAAAGAGACCCTTGTTAATACCCAGCCTGTCCCATTGATAGAAGCAAAAACAAACAGAAGGGCTGTGTGGTATGCAGAGTCAGAACAAACAAAAAAGGAGAGAGAAAATATGTCTGATAAGGAAGGGAGGAATGAAAATAAGAAGAAAAGGAAAAAGATCAAGACAAGGTGTATGGAAAAGTAGGACTGAAAAGGCAATTAGGAGTATAATCAGGTGGAAATGTAGAAGAGAAAACGTTGATATAAGATCACATATAGCCAAAGAAAAAAGATACAGGGTCTCATGGAAGCGAAAGAAAAAGAAAAAAAGAGATCAAGACGAGGTATGTGGAAAGACGAGAGTGGAAACATAACCAGAGACAGAACAAACAAAAAAGGAGAGAGAAAATATGTCTGATAAGGAAGGGAGAAATGGAAATAAGAAGAAAAGGAAAAAGAGATTAAGACAAAGTGTATGGAAAAATAGGACTGAAAGGGCAACTAGGACTATAATCAGGCGGAAATGTAGAAGAGGAAAAGTTGATACAAGATCATATATAGCCAAAGAAAAAAGATACAGGGTCTCACAGAAGCGAAATAAAAAGGGAAAAAAGGGATCAAGATGAGGTATGTGGAAAGATGAGAATGGGAATATAAACTGGGACATAATTGGAGGGAAATACAGAAGAAATAATCCAGAAACAAGACTACAAGCATGTAAAGAGGGAAAGCAAACTTCAGATTTATAGGAAAAAAATTAAGTTGTATGAAGTTAAAATGTACATATATATATATATATACTTGATTTGTTGGACAAATGAATGGATGACTTTGATGTAATTTAATGGCAATGAATTTATTTTTATGGTTAATTAATTATTTATGCATGTAGGATGGGAAAGCAAACTTTAGATCTATAGAAACTAAGTTGTATGCAGCTAAAGTATACATATATATATACATGATTGGTTGGAAAAATGAATGGATGTCTTTGATGTATTTTAATGGCAATGAATTTCTCCCTATGGTTAATTAATTATTTATACATGTAGGATGGGAATAATGGTAATGTAAGTGGAGTGGGAAAAGAAAATTAATGAATGATGATCAGAGTAGAACGGTTTTGAAGTGTTGTTGGGGTTTTTTTTTCTCTTTTCTTGTTATATTGGAATTATGAATTTATGGCACTTCGTGTATCCAAACATTGATGAATTGGCTATATTGTACTGGGATTTTCGTCTCTTTTTCTTGCTTTTTCTTGCTTTTTATTTTTGTATTATTGTGCAGTGCTTAGAGTAATGGGGGCAGAAAATTATGAGTCAAATGTAAATAGAGCCTTAGTTAATTAGTGTAATATGTTTTATGGATTTGTGTTGGAAATGAATTTATAGCTTCCATTGCATGGTAAAATTTGATGATTTGGTTTATATGTCTAATAATTAGGCTTTAGAATTTAGGAGTGTAAGATAATTTTTAGAATAAATACACAGGGAAAAATTGGACATTAAATGTGGGAAGGAGAAGGATAGGAGTACCCCACCATAGATGATTTACAGTATAGAGGATAAATTAGTAGGTTAATTATGTGTATTAAGTGTTTTGGGTGAATAGGAAATATAATTTATAATACATGTTTGTAATGAATGCCTAACAGTTTAAAACTTAAAAGAAGGTAATTTTCAACAGAAAACTGTGAGAATTTCAAATGGAGAGTCCAAAGTCTATAGAGAAAGGTTGAACTAAATGAGAAACAAGTTAATAGATATAGTAAAATTAGAAAGGCGTACATAAAATGGTAAATTTGTGTCTTAGCTTTTATCCCTAAGGGTGGAAATGATGGTATCTTGATGTATTTGTATGCACAATGTTAGTTGGATTGTATGTGATATATATGTGGCATATTGAAAACCCAATAAAAAGATTTAAACAAAAAAAAAAAAAGATACTCTCCTAAGGTTTTCTGCCTGGTTTGCTAGCTAGAGTTCAAAGAACAGAATTCACATTTGATTAATTTGTACCATCAAAATTAAGGGTTGCAAATAATCTATCTGCTAGATCCTGGAGATGTCTGGGGCGAAATAACTTAAAAGTTTAATTCTTAGCTAACTAGTTAGTTAAGATTCTCTAGCTGGATGTGTGATAGGTTATGATAACAAGTGTGCTAATTTTTGTCAGAATCCCACAAATTCAGACTCAACAACGTTCCTTCCAAAGGATCAAGTTTATTGAGTTCAGTAGAAGCAGGTCATCTGTGCATACATTCTGTGTAAAGGCTAACCCAACAGGTGGGAGAGGGTAAAATATACAGCGTTTGAAGCGGGGCCCCTTATGGAGTTAACCCAATCAGAGGTGCAAGCCTTGTGCTAGAGATATTCTTCTGTTTAAATGTGTTAGCCTTACGTCAGTCATTATGATTGAGCCTATGGGTCCAGTGGGTATAAATTGTTAAAGGTTTGTCTCCTCTGGGCTGGTCATCAGTAGCTCCTTGTGAGGCCTTGGCGACCAGTCCAGAGCGTTCTGAGTTTCATGCAAGTGCACTAATTTTAGTATTGAGTTTGCATTGAGATAGTCTATGCTGAATATTGAAATGCTGTGAAGTGTTTTGGTCTTGAGCAGTTCTGTTACCTCGCTTTTGTCGCTTAGCGAATAAGTTAGAACAAAGTGCAAGCTTTCGTCTTTGTTTCTTACCCCTTGGGCTGGTCTCTCGTCAGGGGCCTGGGATTAATCCCCCCCCCCAACACTCAGCTTCCTTTAGTTACTCTATGGACTTGGACCCCACGGCATATTGGATCTGGTCAAAGTCCAGTGGGTAGCCCTGACCCACCCATGGCCCTGGCCTCTTATGTAGCAGCTGCAAGAGTGCTTGGACTGGTCCCGGGCAGAAGTCGACTGAAGGCTTGGCACAGTCCAGCAGCAATGTAAGCAAGGATTTTCTAACAGTATTACTTGTGTACTGTACTCATGACAAACCTGAAATGTTGTCGAGGTGTACAAAAAAAGTTCTAGTCCTGGCAGAATTATGAAGGGACTTTTTAGCCTCCGCACAGATGCATACAGAACAGCTCCCACATGGGAAAAAAAACCTTTAGGTATTTGACTCCCCCTCATACAGCTGGTGTCCTTCATTTCTGGAAGCCTGCTTCTAACCAGTACGTCTTTGAGATTTTTAGCTCTCCCAGCTGTGAACAATGGAGGATTTTTGCATCTAGGGATGTTAGATAGAAGGTGCCAATATTTATTTATAATAGTCTGTACTGGTTTAAATGTGCTGTTATAAGTTAGAGGTATAAGGCCCGAAGGGGTCGAAACACGTATGGTCCTTAGGTCAAATGTTTTACCCATCTATTGGATATGTATAACAATCAGTTCTGCATGAAATATGTTCTTTGAGTCTGGTATTTAGACTATTTCTTTTAACCTTTTTTATGTTTTATGTATGTGTACACCCTAATAAACGTTTGTATATTTTTACCTGTAGCTTGACCCTCTTAGATCACAGCTTCATTTTGGGTTGAGTCCCCCCCCCCCTTTTTTTCCTGAGGTGTACTTCTTGCCAGGAATCAAATGATGTGATATAGGAGAGCTAGCTAGACGCCTGGGGTTTCTTAAGTATACGCCTGTATCTGAATCAGGCCCCCGACTCATCCAGAACAGTACCTCTAGTAATCTTCACAGTAGGCAGTTCTTTAAAGCAGCTTCCGTCTTGGTAATCCCTGTTAATCACAGGTTTCCTATTTGGCACCTTAATTTGATTCTGTAGGCCCTAAATAAAGCTCTGTTTCATGGTTGCAGTAATGGCGATTTAAGAGGGGTAGCCATAGCTTAGTCCAGAAAAACCAGAAGTCCAGTGACACCTTAAAAGACTAAAATTGTTTATTCAAACTTGGTATGTAAAACCTGATGACTGCTGTCTTCCTCCCCCCCACCCCCCCACAAGTACTTGGTAGCATGTTGTTAGGGGACAGATTCAGTTTGGCATAGCCATTCCACGACTTCAAAATATCATTCTTTCTCATTACGTCATCCCTCCGGAGCTTCAGCAAGCAAGGCACACAATAAATAAACTGAGTAATAAAGACACGGAACTTGATGCATCCCAAAATAAAACACAGGAATCTGCAGTGGAGACTGCTGCATTGGAGCCTGAATGTTTTTGCATGATGACTTCATGCGTTTTCCCTTCTTTTGTTTCATCTGTGCAGAATGAGTACGTGTTGTTGGTGTACCCATGCTGGTCCCGATGCCATTGGATTGCTGGAAAGGTATGCCTCTAAGGTGCTGTCCCCCAGTGAATTTGATGCCGCCAACGATGACCTCTGCTACTGTGTCGAGTGCGTGGATGAGTACCACAAAGCAAGGGAGAAGTCGCCATCACTGCAAACGGTAATTTGTTCTCTTCTGTAGCTCACAGTATCTTGAGGGCATCAGGGCTAGAAGTCTTGAGGCAAGCTGTGGTAGACTCTGGCAGGCAGAAGTCTGGTTGTCAGAGGGTGGCAAAACAGGCAAATAGGACAGAGGAGGGAATTGGGTTGTAGCTTGCTCTTTCCTTTGAGAGAAGAGTCGATCAGTTGAGGAAATGTGCCCATTGGTCACTTGTCAGCTGCTAACTGCAATGCTTCCTTCTGGCCAGATGCTTCGGTGCTGTGTATAAAGATGACGTATAAGAGAGCGTTACAAAATATTGGTAGAAAAAGAAGGGAAGGAGGTGAAAATGGACAATCGTGTAGGAAATAGAACTCTGGCAGTCAGGGGGATGTCTGTCAAGCTATAATGTTCCATCTTCTTTAGTTCTTGAGATAGTAGCATATAGTTCTCTGGTGAATTAGAACATCTTACCAGGGTGCTCTGTTTAGGATTTCTTTCGGCAGTTGTTCTGTTGTACCTTCCGCTCTGTGGGTTTTTTCGGGGGTGGGGGGAGGTCTGAGGAGCTCTCAGATGAAGTTGTTAAATCCACTGGGAGCGCTGCTGAAGTAGTACTTCAAGTAGCAGGCATCCTTGTTCTAGGTTTCTTGTTTGGACTTGCACAGAAGTTAAGCGGGACACCCCCTCAGCGATATTTCAGTATTGCATCAGTCAGCCTCTCTGCTATCAGTTTTAGTGATTGTCTTTTCCTCAGCATCTCTGGAGAAATAAATGTCTTGAAATGAGTGGGTGATCGAGCCCTAGACAGGAAGGGATCCTCCAGATCTTCGACATGGTCTCTGTGCTTCACACCCATGGGATCTAGTGCGCACGCACTGGATCGATCGGTGCTGTAGCAAGCTCTTTTAACGGATTTGCGCGCCCAGTCCCTCGGGCATGCGCGGGAACCCCACCGCGCATGCCCAGAGGGGTGGGCGCGGACATCCCGCCAGTTCCTTTCTTACCGCCACGTTGGAAAGACCTCTTTCTTCGTCGGTCTGATCGGTTCGCTGTTAGCTTTCGCCTCACAGCTCTTCAGAATTATTTCCAAACTTTCTTTTACTTTATTTTTTTGTCGTTTGTTCTTCAAAAACAGTTTAAAAAACACTTTTCCTTTCTTTTTGTTCTGTTGAGGGGAACTTTACCTCAGGCCTTTGGGCTACCCCCCCCCCCCACCGTTCCCTCTTCTTCACTCTTTTTATGGAGAAGAAGTGGGGATTTTTCAATAGGTGCAAGGGTTGCGGTAGCAAACTTGCTCCTCCTGACCGTCATACCCTCTGCATTTTTTGCCTCGGAGAGTTTCATCAGCCAGAGTCCTGTTGTCACTGTGCGCGTTTCTCTCACCAAACGAGAAAAAACCGTGCTGCGCGCCTTAAAGTGGCGCTGCTTGAATCGGCCCTTGCTCCTGCCTCTGCGATGGAGGAGAGACAGTCTACTTCGACAGCTCCGGCATTGAGACTTGCCTCCGATGTTGACCGCTCGACACCGAAGCTCCCAACATCGAAGGCACAATCTTCCGCTTCTACACCAGTCAAAAAGAAGGCTAAGGCAAGTAAGGATCACAAGTCTGCTAAGAAGGGCACCTCCAAGTCCCTGAAGGCGGCGAAGAAGGGGAAGGAAGCAGTGTCTGCACTGGGTGATGCCCCTAAAGTGCCTCCCGCTCCAACGGCAGTATCGATATCGGAGGCCCAAGTCCCTCCACCGATACCGACCATCCATGTATTGGACTCCCCTGTCCATCAACTGGAGCCTCCTTACTCCGACATCGAAACGGTAGAGCTCCTAAGTCATCAAATGGATGCAGAGCCTTCTCCATCTCCTTCCCTGTCGTTGACATCGACGGTATCGGAAGCTCCCGACATCGAACAGCATCGGCACCGATATGCTACATGTGACACGCAGCATCACCCCCACGTCTGCACACTCAATCTGTCAATATCGACCCCAGAGACTACCGGGACGGCTCTCACAGACAGGCTACTGCTTTGTCTCCCAGATGTCCACTGTCCAGAAGTCGCTCCCCAAGAGTCTTCCTGCCCCCTCCACCACCAATGTCGTGGGATTAACGACAATTGAGATACCTGTATGGGGCTTAACCACCATCCATGCCATGGTTGACTCCGGCGGGCTACTCTGACTGGGATCGCTATTCATCCCACTCTGTTCATAGGTCAAGATCGCCACATAAGTCAAGACCTTCAGCATCTCTGTCGCGTCCTCCTATAGTCGATCCTTCCCACCATACTCAGGAACCAGGTCGTCCTCTCAACCCTCCGGTCACTCCAACCCCAGTCGTCCCTGTCATCCAAACAAAACCCATAACTTGTCAACAGGACGCCTCGGTCCAAATACAACAGGACTCCTCTGATTCTATAGAAGAGGACTCAGATACGGAGGCTTCTGAGGCTCATACCTCTCCTGACCATACATCTCCCAACCAGGATGTCGCTGACGACTTACCAGTATCCCCGTCAGACAACCTTACATCTTACACAAATCTAGTGAAAAGAATGGCCCACTCTTTAGGCCTCTCTGTAGTCCAGCAACATCCGCAGGCAACAGATGCAGTCTATGATATAGTCCAGCTAGATACATCTTCCACCTTGGCATTGCCCATGTCTTCAGTCCTTCTGCAGACAGCAAAGTCACCATGGCTGAAACCTTAGTCTGCCCCTGTGTACACAAGACGACTGGACCACATGTATAGGATCCAACAGGCAGATGCTGAATTCCTCTTCTCACATCCTCAGCCTAACTCAATGGTGATTGCATCTTCCTCCAAATCCAAACGAATGCATTCTGCTCCTTCTGATAAGGAAGGTAAGAAATTGGATGCCTTCGGCAGGCGCTTCTACTCTACAGGAGCGTTAGGAGTCAAGGCCTCTAACTACCTGGCCTGTATGAACCGGTATCAGTATACTCTCTGGGAACGGTTCTCAGAACTTCTCAGCCACCTCCCAGGCGATAAACTCCAGGCAGACACCACCCGCCCTCCTTCCCCGCTGCTGTCAGCTTCTACATCTTTAATAGGGGTTGATTTGCGGTGGTTTGTAGGAACTGGCGGGATGTCTGCGCCCACCCCTCTGGGCATGCGTGGTGGGGTTCCTGCGCATGCCGAGGTCTGGGCGCGAAAATCCGTTAAAAGAGCTTGCTACAGCACCGATTGATCCAGTGCGTGCGCACTAGATCCCATGGGTGTGAATGCACAGATGACCACTCGAAGATCACCAGTTACTGGTAAGCAACCTGTTTTTCTTCCTTCTCTGAGAATTGCTTCTTTGCTATGGTAGTCTCAGGCCTTGGCAATGCAGTCCCTATGCCTGATTTTATTGCTCTGTCATAAGAACATAAGTGTATAGACTTCTGCCCCTCAAGCCTGTCCAGGAATGAGGGGGGAAGCCCATACATTTTCAGTACATTAAACAACAACCCAGAGAGGTAGGCTACCCTCTCTGGATTCAGAACAATATGCCACCAGAGTCTCTACAATGATCTATAGTCCCCTCCAGCAAAAATTCTCCTTTGTGAGCTACTGGCATTAAAGTTGTGAGCGAGCAATTTGACTACTGCATAAATTAGTTTGCTCTGGGGCCATCCTTCCTGAGCTAAGGCAAATATGTGTGAGCCGGAGGCTAAAAAACTGTGCGCTAGCTCACACTAACTCAGTTTAGAGGGAATACTGCCTGTGAGGTAGGTGGGGCTGAGAGAGGTCTTTTGAGGACTGCTTGTAAGAGAACAGCTCTGAGATAAATTTTGACTGACCCAAGGTCGCACCAGCAGCTGCATGTGAAGGAGTGGAGAATCAATCCCGCTTCTCCCAGATTAGAGTCTGCACTCCTAACCACTACACCAAACTGGCTCTCCTATCTACCTGCTGTCCCTCACATACAGAAAGCATATGTCTTTGGGCTTTGTAAAAGGTAGTAGCTGTGTCTCTGCTGAGACAGAAAGGGGCATAGCCCAGTAGAACTTAGTATGCTCTACGTGTCTAAAATCCTGCGTCCAGTCACTGACATCTTCAGTGGAAAAAAAAGATTTCAGATAGTGGAAAGAACTTTCTCTGCCCAAGTCCATGAAGAGTTGCTGCCAGTCAGAGGAGACAATACTGGACTGAATGGTCCAACCCAAATAATTCAGAAAAGGGGTCCTGTAACTGTTTGCTTAATTTGATTACGCAAAAATATGTTCACATTAAAACACATACCCCTGTTTGTCACTGTACCCCTTCCCCAGCTATCAGGAAAGCAATCAGGCTAGTGTTTCCAAATGATCCAGGCTGACTCTTGCCAGGACATGGTTATTACTGTCATTTTGTACAAAGTCTGTTCTTTAAGAAGACATAGCCTTCAGTAGCCATGTTAATACCCTTTTAGTGTGTCAGAGCACAAAGAAAAGATCCTTTTTCAAATACTGCCATTTAACTTTTTTTAACATCAGCATTAGAAGGTGGCTGCAGGTTCTCTTTTCTTTTCCCCTACAGATCAAATTCTGTCTCAGCACAGCCTTCTCCTGTTTTCCTTATTGCTTCCTTTTCTCCTTGACTCGATACAGACTCTTCTAATATTACCATGGCTTCTTCCTGACTTCAGTGCTTCGTTTCCTGTGTTGCCGCCTTCAGAGATCTTAGCTGTAATCTTATCTTAAACCTGACGTAAGGAGAACTCCACATGTTCCTGGGGGAATGAAGGGTTTAACAAGGTAGCAAGGAAAAACAAGACAATATGTGGAGAGATGATCTTCGGGTGCCAAACAGACCCAGTTTAAATGAGGTGCAGAGCACCTGCCTGTGTCCAGTGCCCCGGTCTTCTTTTTCAGGATGCGTCTCTTCAGCCCATGTGCAATATTTCCATGCTCGCAAATCTTTTTACTTTTAATTTTTTTCTAATCAATGCTTTGATCATTTACATTCTCTCAAGACAGTATGCAACAATAATTCTAAAAACAACACACATTAAAAACCAGCAGCAACCATTTGAAATGCT